GGCACCTGGGGGTCTCGGTTGAGCATCCAACTCTTGATTTCAGCTCAGGTCACGATCTTAGAGTTGTGAGATGGAACCAAGCATTGGACTCTGCACTCAGTGCAGAGTGTGGTTGTCCCTCTCCCTCTGCTTCTCACCCCGTTAACACTCTCTATCTCTTAAATAAATAAATGAATAAATCTTTAAAAAGATAAAATAAAATCAGAGGAAAGATCTAGAGAAAGAACAAAAGAACCTAGAATTCTGCTGAGGAAAAGAAATAACTGTAGTCCTTTTCATCAGCACCTGCAATGCTCGTTTCCAGACTCTCACCATCTTTAACTAGGATTTTTACAATATGTTCCTAGCTGAAATGAAGATCTGAATTCCTTACACTTCACCCAAGACCTCAGACTTTCACTGGAGTATCTTTCTAAATATTGATCATGTTATAAAAGTCTCTCATTAATAAGACATTAAGTAGTCCTCATTGTCTTCAAGTTCAGTATCTGAATTACTTAATTTAAGCCTTAACAATATGACATTTTTCTTTAACTCCAAGCTTCCATGTTTTGCAATACGTAATTTATTCTAAACTACTATATAACAAAGGAAGGAAGCCAGTAGTAAGTAAATAATTACAGAATAAGAAAAAGGGAGAAGAAGGAGGATGATAAAGATGGGGAACTAATTACCTCATTTATACCCATAAACAGGTGATCCTTGAACAACGAAGGGGGAAGGGTTAGGGGTGCTGATCCCCATGCAGTCAAAAATCCATGTTTAACTTTTGACTTCCTCAGAACTTAATTACTAATAGCCCATTATTGACTGGAAGCCTTATCAATAACATAAATAGTTGATTAACGTGTATTTTCTATGTTTCTATCTAACATATATCTAATACGCTGTATTCTTACAATAAAGTGAGCTAGAGAAAAAAAAAAATATTATTAAGAACATCGTAAGGAGTGTGGTGCCTGAGTGGCTCAGTGGGTTAAGCCTCTGTCTTAGCTCAGGTCATGATCCCAGGGTCCTGGGATGGAGTCCCACATCAGGCTCTCTGCTCAGCTGGGGGCCTGCTTCCCCCTCCCCCTCTGCCTGCTTCTCTCCCTACTTGTGATCTCTCTCTCTCTCTCTCTCTCTGTGTCAAATAAATAAATAAAATCTTAAAAATAAAAAAAGAAAGAAAATCGTAAGGAAGCAAAAATACATTTATAGTATTACGCTGTATCAAAAAAAAATTCATGCATAAGCAGATCCACACAATTCCAACTGATGTTCAAGGGTCAACTGTGTATTATTAAGCTTAAACATAACAAAGATGATTTTATTTAAGTAAAAAAAAAAAAAAAGATTATCTGGGAACAGAGGAGGAATTACAATTCAGAACAGGAAGCTATGGTGAACTGTAGGGAGGTCTGAAGAGACAAAGGGAAGGTTAGCTTTTATTAGGTTTTAGGAGGAACCTGGGAATAGTTGTTTGAACAAGTTTACAGAAGAATAAGAGTTCAAGGTTGTAGTGGTGTTTCATTGTCCACAAGTGGTTGTTATTGTGTTGTTGCTGGGGCAGGGAGGGATCTCCCTTCCTTTTTTAAAAATCAGGAGATGTAATGTCCTCCCTTGTGAAAATAATTCTTATCTTCCGTTTTCCTGCTGGTTCTGTAGGCTATAATGAGGGGTACATGCTTGAGAGCTCCCGTCTCAGGACTTCCGAATTCCGTTTGGAATTATTACCACAATATAAATGGACATTTTAACTTGATGGGCTTCTAAACTTGCACCTTCCTATCCAGACCCCACTGTCCCAGATAGGCATATCCAATAATCTTTGCCATTTCTAGTAGATTATTTTATAAATATTGAAATTATGAAGGCCTAATATGAAATTTCTTTTTATTTTCTTTTTCACAAATTGAGACTTTCCTCATTTAATCTCAAAGAAAACTTTGATTTTTCCCACTGGAACATCTGAACGTTTTTTGCTGCTTTAGTGAAGTAGGCATTACCTTAGATTAACTTTGTGTATATTTTGTCATGAAATGCCTTTTCCCCATTTTAGAAATCGCTACCTTGAATTTTCCCCTAAATCTAGTCTTGTGCAATCTTCCCTAATCAATAGATAGCTACACCTTCCCTAACCCTAATCAACAGCTACACCTTCCATGTGTTGGCTCAAGGAGTCATTTTTCATTCCTTTCCCTTACTACATACTTTACTCAATCCATCAGCAAATGTGGATGATCCTATCCCCAACATATCTTTAAAATTCCTACATTTATCTCTAATTCCACTTCTAACAGCACCATGTTAGTCCACAGTCATGGACTATCCACAATCACAATTCCTAGCCATAATCACCTCTTGTCTACTCTTCCTTAATATCTCCCATCTAGTCTTCATGCTTTCATACTTGTCCTATTCCAGTCCATTCTTCTATAGATTCAAGAATCTTTGCCTTAAAATTCAAATTGCATTGAGGATGCCAGGGTGGCTCAGTCAGTTAAGCATCTGGCTTCGGCTTAGTTCATGATCCCAAGGTCCTAGGATCCGGCCCCATGTTGAGCTCCCTGCTTAGTGGGGAGCCTGCTTCTCCCTCTCCCTCTGCCTGCCACTCCCTCCGCTTATGCATGTTCTCTGTCTCTCTCTCTCCCTCTGTCAAATGAATAAGTAAAATCTTAAAAAAAAAAAAAATTCTACTTGTATCAAGTGACTTATGTTTAAAATTTTCCGGTAGCTTCTCTGTGTAAAATATAGTGTAGACTCCTTGACCCCAAGACTCCTTTCCCCTCTGACTCCATTTGGGGAGTTCTCTCTTTAGCTTACCAGAATCAGCTACTCTTTGTTCAGTTCCTCAAACTTATCAAACTTTCCCTCATCTTTGAAAAGGTCCTCCCCTCACTCCGCCTTTCCCAAGAGTTCTCTGCACTATTCATGATGCTATCATTTAATTTCTGACTTTTTCTTAAGCTCTGTGATGACCATGAGTCAGAGTCCCTGACTGTCTTGCCCACTCTTTTACCCCCAGCTGCCTCTGCACTATTCCCAGCAGATAATTTTTTTAAACAGTACCTTTTGAACACAGAAACTTTGAATCAATGTGATGCAAAACCTAATTGGAAGGGTTATAGTGGGGAGAAGGAAGGACATTTATTTTAATGAGACTGGAAAGAAGGAGGAAAGAGAAGGTCTTAAGGGCTTATAGCTTTGGGGTAGGAAGTTATCAAAGGGAAGGCTTGATTTCCTTTCTGAATGAGAACAAGTTCCCTGCCTAGAATTAATGAGTAGAAGAGGGGGTATGGGGTTTGAAGGGAGCCCCTGAAAAATTTTAAAAAGATTTTATTTATTTATTTGAGAGGGAAAGAGAAAATACAAGTGGAGGGAGGGAGAGGGACAAGCCGACTCTGCACAGAACCCTGGGCGGGGCTCAGTATCACTACTCTGAGATCATGACCTGAGCCAAAATCAAGAGGCAGTTGCTTAACCAACTGAGCCACCCAAGCATCCTGAGAGCCACTGAAATTTGAATAACTAATAAAAAGAGTAGGAGAATTACAAAAGAAACTCTAGAAGAAATGACAGGTGGTTCAACAGGTGGTGTTGGGGACCAGGATCTTGTCATGACCTTTCTTAGTAGAGTTGAGAGTTTCTGCAGCACTGCTCACAGCATAGGCTTTGGGGAGAAATCAGCTTCACTGAACCAATGTTTAAAGTTTGAAGGATAGGTGGAAAGGGAGTAAAAAGGCATTTTAAAAAATTGAGAACAGTGGTGAAACTGATGGCACTGATTAACAGAGATCTTAGATGGAGTAGAGAGAAAGAGACAAAGCCAAACGGCTGCTAATATTCTGCCAAATGAGAGGATTACAGGATTGCAAGTATCCAGGTGTCTGAGGAGAGGGAGAGGTTGAGGAGAGAGGTGGGGCTGAGAGATCTCTTCAGAATAAGATACCTACGGGAGGATTTCTTCCAAGATCTTTTTCTACCAAATGATGTTTTAACTTCCTCAAGACTGGGTGTCTTGAAGGACAAAAGAGCCTAAAATGTTTTATAGAATGTGTGATAATGAAGTGACTCATTTGGCCAGAGCAAAACAAGGCCACCACGGGGTCATTCGACAATTCAAGCATCTTAAAATTTCCAGAGGCAATTTGATAAATGACTCAGGATAAATTCAGATCACCAGCAGCTTATACTCAGAACATGTTCCCCCTTGGGCTAAGGGAGCATTCCAAGAACGTATTTAATGAGGTGTTATACTAACCAGCCATTCCCTGGGTCTATTTCTCTATGAGTGCTGAAGCTAATTGCCGAATAAACGTGTTTTCTCAAATATTCCTTACCTCTACAGACCATTTTCAAAGGAATCACATATCTTTAGTTGTTAACCTGTATCAACAAATCTTTATTGATGAAATAAAGTGACTTTCGGTGCGACTTAGTGATAACATAACAGGCTGACTGGCGAAAAGAAAAATAAGACCATACCTCTCAGGAGAATCTTAGCAGAAAGGGGAAAATTTGATGTCAATAGTAAGAATACCAAATACGTGTGCATAATACTTTATAAATCTTGTCATTTATATTTAGTTTACTTGATTTGCACAACAATCCTGTTTTACAGGTGGGAAAACTGCTTTAGAGATTTTCAGTGATTTATCTAAGGTGACTGGCAAGTCATTTTTCCCCGATACACATCACTTCCTCAATTGTCCAGTAAAATACATTAAATCCTCGTATGTCCAGTATTACATGGGTGCACAGCTTAGCACTACACGGCAGGAATGTGTCCCGGGCGGGAAGGATCCCCTCCAGGCTGAGTTCCAGGAACTCTAGTTGCTCTAGGAACTGGAGAGCGGCGCGGACAGCCATTTCTACCATGTCTCCACTAGGTGGCAGTGAAGGCCACCCCGCTATAATGTGTCACTAAAGAGAAAAGCAAAACAATGCCATTCTTTCAGACTTAGGAAAAGACTGCGTGTGCATGTGCATGCCAGCACGCGTGTGCGTGTGTATGTGTGTGCGCGCGCACACACATGTGTTTGCTAGGCAGAGGAACTGAAAAATGAATAGAAACTCTCACTGCCCCCTATGCGGTTTCTCACACTGCTAGTGGGTCGGACCAGAGTGAAAGAAAGACCTTGATTATTTGGCTCTTTGATACTATACTGTGTTCTCTTAGCCCATATCTGTAAGGATGGATCATGGACGTCCACATAGGTATTGTATGATGTCCAAGAGTATCATTGTCACTCAGCATAAAAGGGAATGTTTTCTCAAGAGGAAGAATTCATGACTTTGGTGCATTCCTGTCTGTGGCTGTGCCTACGCTATTGTGTATTACGATCTATTATTGTGCTATAGCTGATAGGAGGAAAAAACACTTGCAGTATCCTATGGGTGAAGGAACTCCACTGCTAAAGGAATTCAAGATACTTTTGATGCTTTCTTGGTTCAGTAGTAATCAGCATTGCTAGAGCTTAGTTGCAAACTTTGGTCACTGAATAAAGAATAAGAGTTCCCAATTAGAGCAATTTCATCTTAGAAAATAGATGCAGCTGGAAATGAAGAGTTGGAACCCATCCTTTTCACTGAATAATGTTTAGTTGTCATCCTAAATCTTCCAAAAGTTAGGGGGGAATAAAAGTTACATTTGTCTGTCTGTAGCAAAGGCGGAGAAACCCCCACCCCATTTATAAAACCAGAGTTGCCATCAGTTTGAAGGGTGTTCTACCCGAGGAAACTCATCCATTGGAGGCAGCTGCTTCTCCTCTGGCACAGGGGGGAGGTCAGGTGCTTTCTGTCCACACCTGGCCACAGTGAAGCGACTCATGTGAAGAGCTTCTTCGTACCCTGGGAGGGTGTCCAAAGAGGAGGGCAATTGGCTGAGGGGGCTGTGCGAGTGAGCCACAGCCAGGATTCTTCGAGCTGCAGGGCCAAATATTGACTGCAGGGCTAGGGAGGAAAGAAGGAATAGAGCTAAAGTAACTGTGACATCCTCAAAAATCAGGGACTTACAACACACTTAACTCCGCCTCATTTTTAGCGAGTGTCCAAACCATTGTCACTCTCGGCCACAAATGTTATGAAAATGCTGTGAAGCTTGTTTGGAAACCCGCTTCACTCTGCTGAGAGATCCTGTCTTCTTGGGGGTCCTCAGCTAATCTAAATTGTGACCCCATATCTCACAACCTTGTCCTTCCCTTTTACAGAATCGGGGCCCTTTATGCCAACCCACTGATAACGCAGACTCCTTAGAAATATTTATTTCTGTCTTATTTATCTTTTCCCAAAGGGCAATTAGTGAAGCAGGAAAGGTGGACAGCAATGTATCCTCTTTTCAAAAGAAATTTCACAATGTTGTGCCACTGCTGTTCTGCCTGGTCTCTCTTCTCCCGTTTCAGGAAAGAATATAATATGAAGAAGAGAACAGAAGGACATAAAGGAGGTGTTTTATAATCATCAAGGTGATGTTAAGCTAACATTTAAATGTATCAACAGATCCACTACAGAACAAAGAATGGAAAGTACACATGATTAATTTCTTCAAAGATACAAAATAATATATAGGCAATAAAAAATACAGGTTCTCGGGGTGCCTGGGTGGCCAGTCGGTTAAGCGTCAGCCTTCAGCTCAGGTCATGATCCCAAGGTACTGGATCGAGCTCCGCATCGGGCTCCTTGCTCAGTGGGGAGCCCGCTTCCCCCTCTCCCATTCCCCCTGCTTGTGTTCCTCTCTCGCTATGTCTATCTCTGTCAACTAAATAAATAAAATCTTAAAAAAAAATACAGGTTCTCACAAAATCCAAGACATTTTTGAAAAAGGGATACACTCAGAGCTTAAAATAGTTTTATCAAAATAACTTTATGAACTGGGTAATTCTTCCTGTAAGACCTTTCCAATATTTTCTTCAACATTCTACTTTTTTCTTCACTCTATCATTAGACCAATATTTGAGAACACAGCATCAGTGAAAGTCCAGGTCACCACACCATCAGGCTTCTGGAAATTAAAATAACCCTGAGTTCTAGCATCTTTAATGCAATTCAATCCATGTTTCTATATTATTTCATCGTCCTGATCATTCTTTTTATTTGTCTTTTTTTTTTTTTTTTTTTTTTTTAAGTAGGCTCCTCACCCAGCATGGAGCCCAGTGAGGGACTTGAACTCACAGTCCTGGGATGAGATCAAGTGTCTAACTCTTAGCTGAGCCACCCAAGTGCCCCCAATCATACCCTTTTTTAAAAAACTTTATTTATTTATTTGACAGAGAGAGAGACAGCAAGAAAGAGTACAGCCAGAGGGAGAGGAAGAAGCAGGCTCCCCAGGGAGCCTGACCAGGGACTCAATCCCAGGACTCTAAGGTCATGACCTGAGTGGAAGGCAAACACTTAATCGACTGCCAAACATCCACCTCCTTGGTTATCCTTTCAAACCCCCACTCAGGTTATAATATCAGAGTACTCACAAGTGATTGTGCTCTGGAGAGTGCTGTCATGGTCGAAAGCTATAACTGTCACTTCATAGGGAGGCCGGCCCTCATCTTCCCCATTTTGCTGGCGACTCAGACAGCAGCGGAAGCACGCGGAAGTCAGGCCGCACAGGAGAAGCAGCACCCCGATGACTACCAGCAGCCTGCAGGAAGACCCCCCGCCCCCCGATGAGAGCTCTGTGATCTGGTGTGTTTCCCAGTCCTGGCTCTAACTGGTCTTCAGTGTCTACATTTTTTTTTTTTAAAGATTTTACTTATTTATTTGACAGAGATCACAAGTAGGCAGAGAGGCAGGCAGAGAGAGAGGGGGAAACAGGCTCCTTGCTGAGCAGAAAACCCCATGCGGGGCTCGATCCCCGGACCCCGAGATCCTGACCTGAGCTGAAGGCAGAGGCTTTAAACCACTGAGCCACCCAGGCGCCCCCAGTGTCTACATTTTGACTTTGTTTGACCATTTTACACAATAATCATAAGATTTTAATTCCAACATTTTCACTTCACAGGCATACTTATTTTGTCAGCAAGACTTAATCAGTTCATTAAAACAATAAGAGATCTAATATGGTTTGGAGGGTCTGCTTTCTACTCTATATTCTCCTCTCTATAGACATTTCTAGAACTGAGAAAATACATAATAACTTTTTGATGTTGGCTGAGGAGATGGTATTGAAATAGGAAATCCTAGCATATTGTCACACAGTTAAAAATGAGGTAAAGAAACTTGACTCCATGAGATGCTAAGTAAGTAGGCTGGCTGTCTCATACATTTTTTTTTCCTGACGTCAATTTATTTAAAAGCTAAAAAAGTAAAAATGAATGCCCCTGAGAAAAATAAAGTTCCTTTGAAATGTCTTTCTGGGTATGATAGCTGAAACTTACCATATATACCAGAGATGTACCCAATCTGTGGTCAGGCAACTATGGAGAAAGAATAAAGTTTTTTTGCAATGAAAACATAGTCAGTGCCTATTGTAGTTCCATAACCTGGAATATGAGTTACAATATAGTATGCTACCTTGTTATAATAATAGCATTACAACCTATATATATATTTTTAAGTTTGCATTTTAATTCCCATTAGTTAACATACAACAAGTTATACTAACTTTAATATAACCAGCAGAATCTATTGCAAAATGGGATGCCTTAAGTGTTTAATACTATAGATGGCATTGTGTAAATATTTTTGTAAATCATTTTAAGATAGACTAGTGATTATGAAAATGGTGCTAATAGAAAATATAACCATGACCACTATAAACAGTTATGATGACAATTACCAGGAAAGAATTTGGAATATAAAATTACAAAGTTTGAAAATGGGCATGAAAGTTAAGGTTTGTATATATATTTGAGATCAGTAAAATTTAAACATAAAGAAAATTTCAGTTATAAGCATGAAAGTAATACAATGAAGTTTATAATTTATGTCTTGCAAATTGCTGCAAAAAGGGTCCCCATTATACCATAAAAATTCTCACTATGAAAAAACCCCTAAACTTTCACATCCATTATCAAAACTGATATGCATACCCACTTAAGCCGAATAGGAAGGAGGAAAAATGTAGAAACCAGTTTCCCCATGTTAAAAGTTAACTAACTGAATTTTCTCTATAGAGATGGCAAAATTTTATGGATTGCATGGAAGAAGGAGTATGGGATAAGCTCAGGAGTGGGAAGAGGAGAGGAAGGAAATATTTATCTTTGAAGATGAACAAACCTAATAATAATCTCTGATATATTGAACTGTTGAAATCTATTGAAATTCTCTTTCACATCCTCTCTTTGGTTGCACAGTTGTAGAACATACAGTTTGTTTTTCAATAAACAATGTCTCCTGTAGGTTTCTCACATTCTCCATTTATTTAAAGCCTCTTCTAGTTCTAGAGTTATGATTCTGAGTCTGTTAAAAGTGATTCTTCCCAAGTGGTAGGTGTCTAAAGCCTCAGACAGTGTGACAAGCAACCCAGGTCACCACCATTTCCCCTGGGTTTAACAGTCTTGGCTGTTGAGAAACCCTTCCCATGGCTAAATATTTGTTTTCCTTCAGGCTGAGCAAGTGTTTTGTTCCAACTGCCCCTGCTTTCTTAATAATTTACCTCCAAGTGGAATGAATCTCTTCCCCTTTTATGTCCTCTGTATCTGTGTAAGACCTAATAGTGATAGGTTTAGATTAAGGGATTACAACCTCAATGTGATAGCTGCATAAAGTCTGCAGGAAGTATTGACATGCCCTAAAATACAGAAAATGCTCATCATAGTTACGATGGTGAGGTTAGTTTGGAATTACCCAAACATATCTGCCAGGGATGAGATTTTAAATCCAGTGGGTCCTGATGAGTCACTGAGAAGCATGGGAAGGAAAGCCATTAGCAAATTTCTGTGACTGTATGAATTGAGATTAATTCTGTTGTTTTAATGGGAAGATAGGCTTTGGAAAAAATGCTTTCAGTTATGTTATTTCAAGTACTTAGGATGACACAAGGGCATGTCTTTATTTTTGCATGATCTGTCTACCAGACGGGTGAGTTGATGTCCATTTAAGTAAAGATAAAGGGAAGTGAGAGATATTTAATGACCTCTTGACCTCCTGTTTTGGGTACTAATGTTTTTGTCTGTTTCTCCTTCTTCCCAGTTTGGTCTCAGATACTTACTGTTCAGGATTCACGCAGTTCTCCTCACATCTTGCTGGGGGAAGCTGCAGGAAGGGAAATAGGGAAATGTCGCATCTGTTCTGCTCAGCAGCCTGGCATCGCTTCCCCATGACTCTGCTCTGTTAGTTTACTTGGTGAGAGCCGGGAAAATATGAGGACAAGGTCATAGGGTCAGCCCTGTTTGTTTTCATAGCTCCCATGCCTGTGGATTATTATATCTGAAATGGGAGAAACTAGAAGAGCAAATATCTAATCTGTCGGGGGTTTTTCGTTTGTTTGTTTGTTTGTTCGGTGGGTAAGCATTACAACTTTTGTGAATGAGAGGCAGAGGCAACATTTAAATCAATTTGTCCTAGAAATGTCCTAATCTATCCCTCAGGATATTGTTATCACCTTCCTAAATCTTTCCCAGTTACAAATTGAATTCTATCCCGCTCCTCTTTTCTATTCCCTTAGTTCATCAATAACCCACCCCTGCCCCCAAAAAAAGAAGGAGAAAAAGGAGGGGAACAATTGTATTTATTGAATATCCCACTTTATGCCAGTCAGGCTGCTAAGAAGTTTCAGTATGTCATAACATTTCATGACAATAATCATGTAGGTGGGTATATTTAACCTTATTTTGAAAGGTTACATGACAGAGGCAAAAGGGTTTAAGTTAACATGAGCAAACGCACGCTTCTATTGATGTAGCCAGAATTCAAATCCGACTCTATCATATATGTGTGCTGAATGAGTTAGTAGAACAAGGGCTAAATCTGCTCTGACAACACCTTGATATTGCTATCAAACCCCTCCTGCTACTGATGATGAAAGCTTCTTCTCCTTCTTTTACCTTGTATTTCAGTTGACTTTTTCCCTCACATAGAGGAACTTTTGTTTAGAAACTGCATCTCTCTTCCAGTAAATCAAATGACTTAATATTCTCAGGAAATCAACAACAAGGGACCCACAAGGGACAGATATTTGTACTTATTGAGAGTTTATGGGAGGAAGAGGGGACACACAAACTCAAGACATACCAGGTGAAAAGGGTTTGTAAAAGGACTTAAGAGCTGTCCTCTGCAGACAGCTTTTGAGAAGCTCCTTTTTTTTTTTTCTTTTAATTTAAAATGGTTGGCCACTAAGGATGACAAAGTGTGTACTTCCTCTAACCCACCTCTGGTTCTCTGTTTCTCTTTTCTGACTCTGAAGTTGAGAAGCTTAAAGTGCTAAACAGAGAAAATACTTCTTTTTGTGACTATTGCCAAAAAAGAAAAAAAAAAAGAAAATTAAAAAGAAAGAAAGTTCAGGGCAAGGAAAAGAAGAGGAAGCAAAAGGAAAATACAAGAAGAAATGGATTTACAGACAATAATTTAACTGCGATATAGAAAGCAAAACAGTCGGTCCGTTCTCTGCTAGGAGATGTACAGGAATCTGATACAAGCCAGGGCTTCATTTGCTTCCCCCCACCCCCTCTCTCTCTTTCTCTCTTTTTTAAAAGTAGGCTCCACACTCAGCATGGAGCTCAACACTCTGGGCTTGAACTCACAGCCCTGAGATCAAAACCTGAGCTGAGATCTAGAGTTAGACGCTTAACTGACTGAGCCTCCCAGGTGTCCCCGCTTTTCCTCTTTACTAGTGTTCATCGCTGTGTAAACTTCCCCTTGACAATTGTCCAGAATCCTCACCCTACTGACCTTTTTCTCAGCTAATGAATTACCTAGGGCCTTCTGATTTTTGGTGGGGAGAAATAAAAGGTCAGAAGTATTTTTTAAGAGTTTTAAGAGTTACATGATCTGGAAGCATGTAAGTTGCTAGAATTGTATCAGGGCTGATGTGGAAACTCTGTTTAGGGGAATTATGTGTTCATTTTGATCATTTATTTGGGATCTTGAGGGATGAATGGTAAGATGCTAAAAGAGAGAAATGGAGGTGCCTGGGTGGCTCAGTGTGTTGGGCCTCTCTGCCTTTGCTCAGGTCATGATCTCAGGGTGCTGGGATGGAGCCCCGCATCAGGCTGTCTGCTCAGCAGGGGACCTGCTTCCCCCTCTGCCTCTGCCTGTCTCTCTGCCTACTTATGATCTCTCTCTCTCTCTGTCAAATAAATAAATAAAATCCCTATAAAAGAGAGAAATATAGATAAGTGGCACTTCTAATTACCATAGCTATCCTGCATGTATCTATGTTTACCCTAATTTCTGTTTCCCCATTTCACCGATGCCTCAGCCACACAGGGGCCATGAATCCTTATCACACTAAGGAAACATTCTAGTAATTCTTTTCCCCACTACCTCTTTGGTTCAGTCTATGTCCTTCCCCTTATTCATTTCCCCCATGGTCCTTCTGAGAGTTGATTTGTCTGAGAAACAAACAAAAGTTTTATTTTTGCATTTTCTCAACTCACCTGGACGCAGTACACCAGGACAGAGGCTGTCACGGCCTGGGCTCGCACCCCCATGGGGCTGAACGGCTTCTCCAGGATCAGGTGCAGAGTGTCCACGTCTGTTGCCTCCTTTCCATGTTCTGTGTCGGTCTGTCTTCTTGACCTGGAGGACTTAAGGAGACAAACTTATCTCAGCAGTAAATCTTTTGCTCTCTCTCGCCCCTTACTCCTTTGGGCTTTTATTTTCTGTGGTCTTTCTCTCCCCTTTCATCCTGGCTTCTTTGTCTATGTCTATTCTGCTGTTACGGTCTCCACATCGACTTCTCTCTGCCTTCTACTAGCAATTCTTTCTATTTGTCTTTTACTTTCTCCCAATTGTCCCCAAAAGGAAAACATTCAGGGAGGACACATCAGTCCTCAGAATTAGGTATTCTTATAGGCAGTGGTGAGAAACTTGACTTGAGGAAGCTCAAAGGCAAATAGCTGGTGACTGAACAAGCTCTCTCGTCTCCATCAAAAAAAGGAGTAAAATTTTTGGTCCTTCGCTGCGGCAGTTCACGGGGGACCACTGAGTAACTGCCAATCTCCATTCCCTCCCCTCTCCATGTGATTAGCCCTCCTCTCTCACTCTTTGAAACCCTCCCCTTCGCTATGTTGATAATCAACTCTCCTGGTTCTGGGTCATTTATTTTAACCATTGCAATAGCCCTGAGAGGTTGACAAATGGACTGGAAAGCACTCCCACCTTTGAGGAAAGCAGGTCCCCTCTACCCTGACTTTAGTTTCCTTTGAAACACATTAGTCAGACAGACACACATATTTTTTTAAACTGGGTTCCAAAAAATAACGAATAAACTGGGTTCCAAGATCTATGGGTCTCTAGATTTATCTCTCAAATAAAATCTAAGGTCAGAATAAAAATAAGCACACATGGAAAGAGAATATTGTCAAGACACATCCCTACAGGAATGAGTGAATACTGTATAAATGATTTATACTTAAGTCAGTATATTTTTGCATAATGCAAAGTATTTCAAAATTTTTTTTTAAATCCAAAGTATTTCATAGAAAAATTAGACATCAGTTTACGAAGATTGATCTATCTCAGAAGAACTGAATAAAACCATCTTTCAGATCATATATACTTCTGAAAGTCTAATTTTACTGAGTTGTTGAAGGCAACTGTTGTGTGGGATTGATTCAAAGAGTCCTCACACAGCATTAAAATATGATATCAGCATGGCAAATATAATCTTTTTTTCCTCTTAGCTAAGGGAGTCAAATAGTGACAGAAAAGCCCGGTATGATACTGGTGATTGGACATCATTAAGTTCCAAAACTAAATGAGCACTACATTATTTTTCTTTTTAATGTAAATAAGACAGAGATAGGATGAAGAGTACTTTCCAAATTTCAGCAGAAAACTTGACAAGGTGGGAGGTATTTTTTAGGACAAAAAGGGCAGAAAAATCCTGGCCCTCCACTAAATTCTCTGTGGTTTCTCCAAGCCTTCATTGTCCCATTTATAAAACAGGAGGGGAATGCTCCATTGACCTGCCCTAGGTGTTGTTTCATAGAAAAAATACTACCAGAGATATGAAGTCATTTTGATTAGAATCTTTCTACTTAGATTGGCCTGTCCATGGTAGTAGCATCACTAATCTTTCCCTGCTCTTTCTCTTGTCAGAGTGACAGGAAAGCATCGTAGCTAAGAATCCAACTAGCTTATCTGGGATTAAATACTCGCTTTGTCTCTTATTTTTATTTATTTATTTATTTTTTGCTCTGTCACATATTCGCTGTGCAGTCTTGAGCAAGTTATCATATCTCTGTTGGGTCAGTTTCATTCTTTTACAATGGGGTAGTAATAATAATGTTACTTCATAGACTTATAGAGATTAAGTAAATTAATGTGTGTGAAATGCGTACAATTGTCCTGATGCAACAAGTGTTTTATAAGCATTAATCAGCATTATCTTGATTTCCATTCAGTTTTGCCAATGACCTTCACCTTCAATATGCTGAATAATTGAAGTCCTCTCGGTGTATTATTACCATGACCATGTTTTAACTTTCCTGATATTCCAGTTCTTGAGTATTTCCCCTTGCTGTTCTGGTCATATCTTCTCCCAATCATACCAACCGAACCTGCATGAACAGGTTTGCCAATTAACATGATTTTTACCCGTTACACTTTCCTGCATGTGATTGCCATAATTGTTTTGCCCTCTAGCTTTCTAACAGGTTTGAACAAAATGGGATTCTGTTAATGACCTCCTCGTTACTTTTCTTTCTCAGAATTATTACTGCCATTTTGTTGTTGTTGTTCTCACTGAATTATTCCTTGAAGGAATAGAACTTCCTATTTATCCTAATGCAAGTGATCATGGCTTGTGTCAATTTTAATGCTGAGTTCAGTCCCTGCCAAAGCCTCCATGTCAGGAACGATGACAGAGGAAAGGTCCCTGTAGGAAGATTGAAGAGTATACGCACTGGAAGGGCAAGTAGCTGAGGGAGAGGGGAATGACCTCATTTCAATCCTACACAATCTTGTTGTACTTCCATTAAGTTAGTGAATCATTAGCTTATACCCAGGTTGTTAAGGACTTGGAGTGGAACCAATGGAGGGTGCATGTACATAGACCTTTTCACCTATGTCTCAGGAAATTGTTAGACAAAAGTTGTAACAAGTGAAGCTAAAAAATTACTTATTTCTGGCCCCTTTGATTATTCTCCTTTTGACCTTGTCTATATCAGGTGACCAACTAAGAATTTCTTTTATTTCTGTGCCTCAGTGAAATAGAGGCCAAGACTACCCTCACTGTGAGTCATCAAGCATGAATTATAGAGTATTGAGCAATAAGTTAGGCCATATCCATGGCTTAAAAAATAGATAATAAAGCAGAAGAGATCAGTTCCATCTTGCAACTTCTCCACTAGGAAGTCCCTCTATCTTATGAATCAAGATTGCAGTGTAAGCACTGAGTGACAGCCTCAGAGGTGTTGACCATCAGGATTAGATATGAAATTCAACAAAACAGAAGGATTAAGTTTATCACAAGATTATTAGTTTTATATGCCATCTAACACATTACCACAAATTATCTGAGTAACAATGTAAAACAACACACATTTTTGTTTATCTCACAGTGTCTGTGGATCAGAAGTATAAAAACAGTTTAGTTGGGTCCTCTGTTTAGGATCTCATGGGCTGCCATAAAGATAGCTGTTGGGTTGTGTTCTCATCAGATGGCTCAACTGGGGAAGGATATACTTCCAAGCTATGTCAGGCAGGAATTCATTTCTTTACAGCTATTGATTTGTGTAAGCTTGTTTCTTTAAATCTGGCCAGAGAGGAAGAAAGGAGTAAGAGCACCTTTAGCAAGATAGGCACTATACCTTAGGTAATCAGATATACATGATCATATATGTTCTATCACCTTTGCTACATTCCAAGCCACAGATACCACCCACACTCAAGGGGAGAAGATTACACAAGGGCATGAACAGCATGAGGCAGGGATAATGAGAATCACTTAGTCTGTAAAACCTGTCCAACTATCTGCTACATCAGGATTATAGAAATTATCCCATGGATCTTTAAAAACAGAAGAAATACAAATGTCCCTCAATGGATGAATGGATAAACAAAATGTGGTATATACATACAATGGAATATTATTTAGCCTTAAAAATAAAGAGAATTCTGATACGTGCTACACCATGGATAAACCTTGAAGACACTATGCTAAGTGAAATAAGCCAGATGCAAAAGGACAAATATTGTATGTTTCCACTTACATGAGGTACTTAGTCAAATTCATAGACATAGAAAATAGAATGGTGGTTTCCAGGAACTAGGAGAAAAAAAGAATGGAGAGTTATATTAGTCAGGTCCTCCAGAAAAAACAGAACCAAAAGGATGTGAATATTTATAGAGAAAGACTTATATAAGGAACTGACTCATGCAACTATAGAGACTGGTAAATCCAAACCTGTTATGTGGATCAGCCAGCTCAAGTCCCAAGAGAACCAATGATGAAGTGCCAGCCCATAGGCTGTCTGCTGGAGAATGTTTTCTTATTTGGAGGAAGATCAGTGTCTTTGTTCTATTCAGGTCTTCAACTGATTAAATAAGGCCCACTCTTATTATGGAGGGAAATCATTACCCTACTGATTAAAATGTTAGTCTCACCCAAAAACATTCTCAGAGAAACTCAGAAAAATATTTGACCAAATAACTGGGCACCCCATGATCCAGACAAGTTGACACATAAAATTAAACATCCAGGAATTATTATTTAATGAATACAGAGTTTTTAGTTGGAGAAGAAGAATAGTAAGCTGAGTTCTTAATTGGCATCAGATAGAAAAGAGATGTTCAGTAAATCATTTACATTTTTTGGGCTTCATCTCCACCTTCTCAAAATAAGAACCGAGATATATTTTCCTTAAATTTCTTTATATTTTTAAAACCCAACTTACTTGGGTGATGTCTTAATCACTAAGAATCTCAAGTGTTAACTATTTACTGCTTGCAGAATATTACAGAATATTACAATTTATATGGTACACCAAGGTGATAGGAAAGAATGAGTTTTTATTGATAGAACGAGATCTATCTATTTCTAAAGAACTTGTAATTTGGTTTTAGAGAGGGAATAATTGTAATGGAATTGAAAATCAATAGAGTGCACTATCAGAGTATATAAAATGAGAGAGTAAAAAATGCTGGCAATCCTACCTTGAGATTTTGAATACAGAGGATTTTTTAAAGAAAAAAAAAATGAATTGTATTTGAAGGGAGTACAGGATTTGTAGACCTTATCACCAGGTCCTGGATTGCTTAGTGATGTTTTTATCAGTGTGGACCCAAAAACACAATGGATGATTATTCTCTCCTGGGTTTCATGGGTGGGGTATGAATGTGAATAACTGAAGTCTGAGAGATCTAGCTCAATCTTAGAGACCTTCTCTAAAGAATGTAGTTATTTCTAGTGTTGTGTGTAACCTTGAATGTTTTAGGTATATAGTCATATATGTCCTTCTAAGACAGTTCTTCCTAGGACAATCCATAAAAGGTTACTAGGAAGTGACGAGCTCACAAGGAAAAAATGTGTCATATCAACAAGTGCGCTTCCATATCACATCTTAATCCACTAGAATACTAATGGCATGCAAAATAATTGAGTCACTGGGGAATGAAAAAGTGTTCTCTTCACTGTGATATGATTTCAGTATTAATTCATTATTAAAAACACTTTCCTGGGATGCCCAGGTGGTTCAGTTGGTTAAGCATCTGCCTTCAGCTTAGGTCATGGTCCCAGAGTCCTGGGATCAAGTCCTGCATTGGGGTCCTCGTTTAGAGGGGAATCTGTTTCTCCCTCTGCAGGTCGTTCCCCCTGCTTGTGCTCTCTCTCTCTCTTTCTCTGACAAATAAATACATAAAATCTTTAAAAATAAATAAATAAAAAATAAAAACACTTCCCTGAGATTCTACTTATATGAAAGTCAGCATGGTGAATGCAGGTAGCAATTTTGCTTCCTGGCACTCAAGATCAGGGAGGTGTTGTGGGGCTTGAGTGATAAAGGTAAGTAGCATTTATTTGTTACAAGCTGGTTTGACTAGAATATACTTGTTATAGGCTGAGCTTTTTTTAGTGAACTGTATCATGGGGTAAAACTATTTAATTTTAAAAAATATTTATCTATCTATCTATCTATTTACTTATTTATTTTTATATAGAGAGAGCAAGCTAGCAGAGGGACAGAGGGAGAAGGAGAGAAAGAATCTTTTTTTTTTTTTAGATTTATTTATTTATTTATTTGACAGACAGAGATTATAAGTGGGCAGAGAGGCAGGCAGAGAGAGAGGAGGAAGCAGGCTCCCCACTGAGCAGAGAGCCCGATGCGGGGCTCAGTCCCACGACCCTGGGATCGTGACCTGAGCCAAAGGCAGAGGCTTTAACCCACTGAGCCACCCAGGTGTCCCAGGAGAGAGAGAATCTTCAAGAAGGTTCCACACTCAGTACAGAGCCTGACATGGGGCTTGGTTTCACGACCCTGAGATTATGACCCTGAGATAATGACCTGAACTGAAATCCAGAATCTGACGCTTAATAGGCAGAACCACCCAAACATCCCATAGAGTAAAACTTTAAATGACAGGTGACCTATTTTCCATTTGGTCTCAGATACTTGCACAGAAAAAGGTAATACAAGTAATCCAGGAAAGAGGAGGGAAATGGAATCTTAAGTAGGCTGTCAAGATCAGTGATTTTTCTAAATAGTTTCCTAGATATTTTATTTGTATGTTTTTCTCCAATGTTCTTTTATGGATCCCCTCCTTTTATTTTTTCGTCATGTAGTTTATTTTATTTTATTTTTTAAAAGATATTATTTATTTACTTATTTGTCACAGAGAGAGAGACAGCGCACACCAGCCAGCAGAGTGGCAGACAGGCAGAGGCGGAGAGAGAAGCAGGTTCCCTGCGGAGCAAGGAGCCCGATGCAGGACTCGATCCCAGAACCCTGGGATTATGACCAAGCCAAAGGCAGCGGCTTAACCGACTGAGCCACCCAGGCATCCCTCGTCATGTAGTTTAAAGCAAATTCCAGATATCATATCATTTTGGCTGTAAATACTTCAGAAAATATCTTTAATACAGAATTTCTTTTTTTAAAGCATGTATAACTGCAATGAGATGTTTCTTCTCTGGTTAGGAGGTTATGGAGGGAAAATAGGTGAGAATTCTATCAATGAATTCATATAGACAGCCTTATGGGGAGCTCGCTGAAGAGTCTTTGAGACTCCAGTTATTTATGTGTAAAATGTATCCTTTGATGGGCAATTCAATTGTGCTGAGTATTACTACTACTAATATTAATAACTATCATTTATTGAGTTCTTATGTTTGAAGTATAGTATTTAGCATTTTCATGCACTATTTCTTATGAATCCTGATAGCAACATTATCAACATTATCCAGTGGAAATTCCAATGTCCCAATTTATGGACAAAGACACAAGTTAAGAGTATTAAGTAATTCCCCAAGATTATAGACTAAGGTACTAGGAAAGGAAAGATCCGAAACCAGCTCCATCTGGCTTCAAATTTCTGCTGCTTTGTTATACTCCTGCTATGTTATACTGCCACTGTATGAAACAGCGCTCCTAATTAACTTCTAAAATTACACACGTCACCATGGCTGGAGATGAGTCACACATGATTAACTCCAACATTTCTAACCTAATGATGATTTAAACAGTCAAAATTAAAAAGGAAAATGTGAGGCTCACAAAAGCCACGGTATAGAGGGTCTGCTACAGTGCAGTAAACAAATATGGACAATGGAATTAAGTAATCTGGTTTAAATGCACAGTCCTCCACAAATTTAATGTGACTTATTCTTTTGAGTTTCAGTTTCCCTATCTGAAGAGTGAATACAAATGCCTCTCCTCTAATGCTCACAGAAAATACAGTTTTCCTTTTCATAAATTACCTAGTGAAACATCCTGAAATACTAGCAGAATCACCACTTTCCCCACCTGCAATAGGCATAACCCAAGAATTTGCGTCAGCCAACTTCCCCGTATGAAGCAAAATCTCTTCTTCCTCCTACCAATGATTGAGTCATTCTTCTATTAGATAGCAGTAGCTATTTAAACACTCCAGCAGGAGTAGCTATTTAAACACTCCAAATTTTTACTTTGCAGAAGTCCTTGACTGCCTCACTCTCTCATTCTTGGAATGAATTCAGAAATGACTTTTGATGACTTCAAGAACAAGACTATGAAGGATCAACCTGATCAGAAGCCAAACGGAAAGAAAGCTAGAGGTACTAGGGGTGGGTGAATGAGCACAGCAACAGAATTCTAAGATTAGCTCAAAAATGTAAATTAACTGAATATAGGATTAGATAGTTGAAATGCCCAAGGATGGAAAAATGTAGAATTAATAACATTTACTTAAAAGAAAAACAATTCAGATATAATGGTGATAATGATGATGATGATGGTGATGGTGATGGTGATGACGATGATGATGATGATGATGATCTGTGAATGAACTAACTTGGTATGAGTGATGATGTATATAGATTCAGATAAATTTTATTAAACATTACCATAGGTTAGGTTCTATGCTATTCACTTTACATGCATTATTTCTCTGAATCAGCGTTTATAGGCAGACATCCAAGTTAACAGGAGTCATTTGTTTGTTTGTTCATTCATTCTTCATGTTGTAAATATTGAGTGCCCGAATTTCACTACAATTATGAAGCTAAATCTCTCAGAACCTGATTAGATCAGTCACCTACTGAAAATAATCCAATTGCTTTCTGATCAGAAAATCACTAATGGGAACAGGTTGGATTAATGGTCTCTACCTACGGAAGAAATGGGACAAAGGGTGTCCTTTAGAAAATGGGGGTTGCACCTTTCCTGCACAGGTGTGGAAGTTGTGATTTGCTTTTAAAAATTCAGGAGTTTCTACACTCAAGAGTGGTAGGCATACACTTATAGTATAGAATGAATATTGACCAGAGGGAAATACTGGTTGACAGATTTACACAAATATCTACCCTCAAGCTAGAATTCTAAGCAAGAGACACAACTATTCTCTACTTTTCTGCCAGCTTGCTACGTACACTCCAGGAGCTTAATGACTTTTAAATCAGTGAATGAACTGTGTTTCTTCCTGTTAAAATTTCTATTTTTTCTGTCTCTTCTCTAGAGTCTAACAGAAAGGCTTTGACTCTGTGAATATATTTGACCATTGATTGATTTAGATCATTACACATTTGCACTAGAAAGTTTGTGATGAAACGTTCCAAGCTATGTAGCAATTAAAGTTGGATTAAAGACCTCTGTTTGGATCTTAACATCAGTGTCATCTTATACAATTCGTTGAGACTTTAGTTTCCTTATCTGCATGTAGAGGATAACACTACCAGTACTCTATTTGTTTATTGTACAGGGTGAGGAGTTCACATAGATTATATGAAATATTTTCCTATTGAACCAAAATATCTGTGCTTTTGTAGTGGTGGAGCTGTGAGCTATAGGACTTATTGTTTCTATAATAATGGTGAACTTTTATAACAACAAGAGCCATAGCTGGTGTAAGTATAGGACATGACATTAATGAGTCAAATGAATATTGAAGTTTAATCCCTACTTTTCTTCAGTCAATAACCTCAGTTCTAAGATGTAATTTTAGTGGAATAAAATTTGAAAACACAAAATTAAATTCTTTGAGGTGATCTGTTGATTAACTAACTAAAGCTTATTTTCTTGGTGTCTGACATTCTTCTTTGGTATACTACTTATAAAACATATTGTGTATGAGGTGTGTGTGTGTGTGTGTGTGTGTGTGTGTGTGTGTGTGCATTGACATGGTCTCTATTAAAAGTACCAGGCTGTCTGTTCTTTGGATGAAGTTGATCCAGCCAAGCTGGACTGAGAGTTTCTTAGTCATTATGGTAGAAGTAGATAAAGTGTAAGCTTAAGAATCAGATACTTAATATCACATATCTGATACTGAATTCTGGCTCTTAAATTGTGTCAGTTGTGTGACCAAGAGCAAATTAATTAAATTCTGTCTATATTTTTCATCTGTAAGTATAGACAATGAATTATATGCAGAGCCCTTGGGAGGACTAGTAAGGTAAGAAATGCAAAGTACAAGGTATAGTTTCCAAAGAATTGTTTGATGACTTGCTTCCATCTTTTATGTCTTTCTGATTCTATCCTCTGTCACTCTAGGTCTTCATTTTCCTTCTTCTCGGTGGTGGTGCCCTATGGCTGTGACCCTGGGGATCCTTTGCTTGGGATTACTGGTAACCCTTATTATACTGACAATGCAATGTAAGTACTGGAGAGAGGGAAAAAGTGAGAACTTACAAACATGGTTTATTAATTGGTTTCATAATAACTATAAACAAACTCGATTCAGATACATTTTAGGCTAACTTTTTAGAATGAGTGGGAACATGAATAAGTACATTGTGCTTGTCCCTCAAATTGACTGGGACACGGACTTAAGATTATTAATGGTAGGTTTTGTTCTGTTTTGTTGTTATAACTTAATGGACAAAGTCTGTTTAAATCCTGGAATGATGAAAAAGAAAATAATTTGAAACTCCTAAGCCACAAGATCCCCTGAGAGACCCGAAAGGAAAAGAAATGTTATATAGTTCACATTGAGGTTGTTTTTGTTGTTGTTGTTGTTGTTTTTGTTGTTCTTGAGAGAGAGAGAGCATCCATGGGGGGAGGAGCAGAGGGAGAAGGAGAGAGAGGATCTCAAGCAGACTCCATGTTGAGCACAGCGCCTGACATAGGCCTTGATCTGACCACCCTGAGATCACGACCGAGCTGAAATCAAGAGTCAGTTACTTAACCTACTGAGCCATCCAGGCACCCCTACATTGAATTTTAATAGAGATGATTAAATACCAATTCAAAGAAATACCCTATCAATAAATGAGACATTTAAAATAACTGTAATTCAAATTTATAATATGGCCACTTAGAAAAGAGGATGTTGAGAGGAAAAGAAGTGATAAGAAGAAGGAGAGTGGCCAAGAAGGAATGAAAATGATATTGATCATCATATAATCTGCCTGTGTATTCAGGTTGTAGATCTGAGTTCTTTTGTCCATCTAGAATCTAGATGATTAAGGCCTTTGAAGTGCTATTTGATTCTCAGTTGTTGGTTAAAGTCACCAACCATTTATTTTTTTCAATCTGTTAACACTTAGGGCCTTCCCTAACAACTAGGAGAAGTGCACTTGACTCAGTGGTGGTGATTGGATGAGTCTTCCCATGAGAAGAATCACTTTAAAACAGTCTCAGATCCAGCCTTCAAGCCAAAGGGTCTGTTTTGTACTCAACCATCAAGCTTCTAGAACTGAGACATTTGACCCTTAACATTAGTTGCCTGCCGGGTTTCACAAACTTCATTTCATCCCCACTCTTCCTAAATGTACTGTGGAAAAAAAAAAAAAGAAACAAAAAATTATTGAAATTGTTATGACATAGCAACTTAAAATAATTCTGTGGGAGGGTGTCTCAAAAAAGGGGTGTCACAGTTTTTAAATAAAATTAGGAAGTCTGGAGTTGTAGAGAGTTAGCAGAGGAATAAAAACACAAATAGAGTAAGTCATTGATGACAACTATTACTAATCACTGAGTCTGGTTGGCATCTATTTCAGATTGTCTGCATTTTATTTATGCCATTGACATACCTTTATTTTATGATTGCTTTTAAACTTGTCTGGAACCATCAGTAACAAGTAAAATCCCGTTGTTATTGTTGTTGTTGTTGTTTTAATCAAATGTGCCTGTGACAGTTACTAACATTAAAAAAAATATAGTACAGGAATATCAAATAACTTTTAAATCCATAATTTTTGAGTAATTTTCCAGCAGTTTATCGTTGTCAAAATGGATTATTTGATTTGATTCTTCGATTTCCTCAAAATCCAGTGGAGGGATTTTTATTCAGGATTGGTAATGGAGTTCTTATTTCAGCTGTCATTTAGTATTACAGGTGTCTGATCGCCTAAAGCAACAGCAAGCAAACCTCACTAACCAGGAAATGATACTGGAGGGACAGATCTTAGCACAGCGCCAGACGGAAAAAGCTTCCCAGGAGTCAGAAAGGGAACTCAAAAAAAAGATAGAAACCCTTACCCAGAAGCTGGATGAAAATTCCAAAAAACAGATGGAACTTCATCAGCAGAACCTGAATCTCCAAGAGGCTCTGAGGAAAGCAGCAAACTTTTCAGGTATGAGGGATGGAGAGGTGAAAAGAAGTAGTGGAAACTGCTCTGTTTAAACTTAACTGTGTTTTGAAAATGTCTCTAGGCACAAAATTGACATATCGACATATATTCATAATGTATGACACCAGAATTTCTCTATTTTTATCATCCCCACCCTTCCCTCTGCTAAATTCTTGAGATACCTGATTTAATTAAGTGCAGTTTTTTGGCAGATTTAAATTTTATTTTCTCATAAGAACCTCTTCTTTATTTTTAAAATCTAGATTTGAGATTTTTCTGGAAGAATTCTTCTGCCCTTACCCTTTGCCATCAATTCTTATTTCTTTCTCTTCCAATATATCTTAATCATTGATTTCTTTCCCTATGGGGTCTCCTTTGTCTCTGGGAAGGTCTACATTAATTTTATTCTGTAACCCTATTTCTTAAAGTATACAACAATCAATTTAAATAAAATGAATGGAGGTAGGCTGACTTGGAAGTGTTGGGTAGATACTTTAGGTAAGAAAAAAATATAAAGAGCCCAGGAAGTCAGTTTATATAAGAATTAAGTTAATCTCGGAATCTAGGAGGCAGGTAGAAATACTAGCATCTATAAGAAGGGGATGATGATGTGAACTCTGATGTTATTACAGTGTTATCTGTGTCATTTAGTCTTGGACAACATGTGATTAAATCAGGTGTATGCTTTTCATCACAGGGAGATTTAAGGGATATGAGATGGAATTATTCTCAAAGATGCATTGTTTTCTTGGCAGTGTATGAATGAGTACCCTATTCTCAGCATTAGTAACTAATTGCCACTAATAAGCAGAGATTTCTCCAATTTCTTGCTTGCACATCTCACTTGGTCTGAACTATGCAATTTCTTTGAAAACGGATTATATAGTAACAGTTCACAAATACCCCAGGTCTTTATTTTATAGAGGAAAAAAATTGATAGCCAGAGAAGTTAAGTGGTGATAATAATGATAAGTAGTTTTTCTTTCTTTCTTTCTTTTTAAAGATTTTATTTATTTTTTTGACAGAGAGATCACAAGTAGGCAGAGAAGCAGGCAGAGAGAGAGAGAGAGAGAGAGAGAGGAGGAAGCAGGCTCCCTGCCAAGCAGAGAGCCGGATGCTGGACTTGATCCCAGGACCCTGAGATCATGACCTGAGCTGAAGGCAGAGGCTTAACCCACTGAGCCACCCAGGCGCCCCTGTAGTTTTTCTTTTTTAAATAAAGTTTTGGAGTTAATAAATCCCTTCAATATTTATAGGGTTATTTAAATTTCCAAAAGAAGCAGAGATTTTTAGACAAACTGACCTTTAGCAAGTATCAAACCTGTATTTAATGTCTTTATTAAGGAGAGAGCTATTGAGGAAACCAAAGAATGTGGTGTCTCTAAGAAGGTATAAAGGAGGGAGACTAATCTAGCAAAGATAGGAATCTTCATATAAACAGACATAGCTACATACCAACCAATGATTTATTCCCCCGATGGGGCTGTTAAACAGGTTTTTTTAAAATTTATTTTTTTATCAGTTTTATGATATTACATCTACGTCAGGACCATCCAGAACCATCTCCCAGAGATTCCAGGCATGGGCAACCAATCAAAAATATTAAGTAATATGTTTTTCACTGGTAGATGTCCCAGGTAACATGTTCCATTCCTTGACAGTGTCAGATAAAGGCCAATTAGTAGAGATAGCAGATAAAGTACTGCTTTTCATCAAGCAGCTTTGAGAAGTTTCTCAAAAATATTAATAATAAAATACTGCATAGGAAAAAAACAGACCGGTTTCCTTAAGTTTGAGACAAGTTTTATCTTTCTTACTAACAAGTCTGTAGTCCACAGTGTAGATATGAAGAGAGAGAGAGATTCTGAAAAGTTACCAAACAAGTGGTTTGCAGAAGGTCGTCTAGCTAGAAAGGCGTGGAGTCTTCAGTCAGGGACTTTATGTTCAGGACAGAAATTAGTGGTGCCTGTCAGTCTTTGGTTGACAACATTATCATTATGGCAGCTTTTTAAAAATGGCGGTTTCCAGGTTTACCCCTAGATTCTGTATCAAAATATCTTGAAGGGCCCCAAAAGATATTTCCTCAATTGATTCAAACTCAGAAGTTTGAGAGGCAGTGCCTGTCGTGATTAAACACGTGGATACGAGAGCAAGCCTGCCAAGGTTCATGGTCCCCTTTATCTGCCAGATGAAGAAAATGAATGGAATTTATTTCATCCTGTTGTTAGGAGGATTAAATGTGTTAATGTGTGAAAAGTACTGCCAACATGGTGATATTATGTTCCTTAAAAAAATAAATAAATAAAAAAGGACCCTAGGCTGGCTCAGTCTATAAAGGATGCGATTCTTAATCTTGGGGATATGAGTTTGAGCCCCACCTTGGGGACTTGGGTGTAGTGTTTACTTAAAACAAGTTTTTTTTTTTTAATTAAAAGAAACATAGGTAGTTTGAATACCACATATGCTATGTATTGGACAACACATGCCTAGGAACAGGAAACACAACATTTAAGCATAAATTCATTATTTGAAAACCTGAAGTATTAAAATGCATAAATGTATCTTTTTAAAAAGATTTTCTTTCTTTTTCTTTTTCTTTTCTTTTTTTTTTTTTATTTTAAAGAGAGAAAGCGCACACACTTTGTGAGGGGGAGAAGGGCAGAGGGAAAGAGAATCCAGAAGCAGACTGTGTTGAGCACAGAGCCCAAGAGGCATTATCCTACCACCCTGAGATCATGACCTGAGCCAAAATCAAGAGTTGGTCACTTAACCTATTGAGCCATCCAGGCACCCTGGATTTTATTTCTAATTAACTTCTACAGCCAGTATGGGCCTCCACACCAAGACTAAGAGTTGCACGTTTCACTGAGTGAGTCAGCTCAGTACCCGGAGCATATCTTCTTAATAGCAGTGTAACTATTAATGGATCCATTCCCTGAGCTCTTACTTCCATTCTTCCAAACATAATTATAAAAAATAGGTCACATTCTATAGTTACGTCTCAGCTCAAATTTTGCTTTGGAACAGCCTTATTTTTCATTTAATTTACTTAAATCAGAATACTTTAAGAGAAATAAAGACTATGGATCTATTGAAGTCTTTGAAGACTGGACATAATTCTAATTTTTTTAAAAGATTTTATTTATTTATTTGACAGAGAGAGACACAGAGAGAGAAGGAGAACAAGCAGGGGGAGTGGGAGAGGGAGAAGCAGGCTTCCCATGGAGCAGGAAGCCCAATGCCAGGCTCGATTCCAGGATCCTAGGATCATGACCTGAGCCAAAGGCAGATGCTTAAGGACTGAGCCACCCAGCCCCCCCATAATTCTAATTAAGAAGAGATGCTTTGCACGTGACAGTCCTGAGGGGAAAATTGATTCAAGAATTGTAGAAATATTTTTACTCAGACATCACTCACTGATCAGATATGCTACACTTCCTAGGTCCTTGTCCCCAAGACTGGCTCTGGCATGAAGAAAACTGTTACCGATTTTCCTCTGGCCCATTTAATTGGGAAAAAAGCCAGGAGAACTGCTTGTCTTTGGATGCCCAGATGCTGAAAATTAATAGCACAGATGATTTGGTGAGTTTTTATGGTGGTACGTTGGGCTGAAGTGGTGCATTATAGGGAAATAAATCGGGTTTACGCCCTTAGCAGAGGAGCACATGTTTGAGAATCAAATTACTTATTTTCTAGCCTCATCTGGCTAATGACTGCATGACCTCGGATAGAGAGGTTACATAGTATCTCTAGGCTTCAGTAAATAGGTCTGTAAAACCATGGAAAGGATGTCGAAGATCTCTTTTGGTTCTTTGGTTTTGTGAATCTAATGTAAAATGACCACACTGACTTTATCATCACTTTAGATAAACATTCCTCCCCACAGGAATTCATCCGGCAAGCGAGTGCCCATTCCAATTTTCCGTTCTGGATGGGGTTGTCTCTGAGGAAACCCAGCAGCTCATGGCTCTGGGAGGACGGCTCTCCTTTGACGCCCCACTTGTAAGTTTCCTATTTTTTGCTGAACGTGTTAGTGACGTCGCTTCCACATTCCACATAATGTCCTCTTCTTGTCAGGGAGAAGCTTGGGGGAAATTCAGGAACATCTCCTTCTCCACCTCTGTCAGACAAGGACTTGTCCATTTAGCCATTCAGACATTCTCTCCAGTTTATCTTCCCACATTCATTACTGATCTGAAGCTTTAAGACAAGGCTAAATTTCTGACACAAGGTGGCAGTAAATTTACCCCCCCCCCCCCATCTGCAGGTTCAGACTCCACGGTCCTGTTTCCCAGATCTATCCTTCAGGCAGTTGTGCCTATCTACAAAGAGGAGCTGTTTTTGCCGACAACTGCATTTTAACGGCATTCAGTATATGTCAGAAGAAGGCGAATCTATTGAGACCACAGTGAATTCAAAGACTCTGGAAGAAGAAAAGGAGAATTCTCTTCTGGAATTTAAGTTGTTCTTCGATTAATGAGGTGCCAACTATGAGAGGCCCGAGAACTGCTTGTTATTAGCTGACGGCAGAACTCCTTAGCAGAGACTGGGCTTTCGGCTGCCTAGCACTTTGATATCAGAAATTTTAATTCCATCTTTCTCTCTTTCTGTGTTTCTCACCTAGCTTGTCCCAAGTCTCCCTGCCTTCCCTTTTTTTTTTAAATTTTAAACTCTTACTCCTCTTCAATCCTCTACCTCAGTACCATCTTCCCCTCACCTTCTTAAACCACATAGAAGATGGAACATGGAGAACTTGCCCACCTGGTGGGTGCATGGAAAAATGCATGCAAACACAGCCCGAGAAGAAACAGAAAAGGGGAAAAGGCCATGCTGGAATCCAGAAACTTGGGTTCTCAATGTTAAAATCTACCACTTGTTGGTCTTTTAAATTGTGATCTTTCTCTGGATTCCACTAGATACACACATGCACACACAACACCCCCTCCCCCACATCATCACATTTTGGGGGCATTTGCAATGTCCCAGGAGGTAATTACAAATTGAATGATCTTTTCAGCGAATTAATCACAATTCATTATTGGTTTCGAAATCTGTAATTATTTTTTTCATCCTTTATCAAAGGACAGCTTAATCTCTTTAATCCTTCAGAATAGTTTTGTTAGAAACATGGGGCCTGAGGTAAAAATAATAGATTTTATTTTTCCTTAACCAAACACCATTTGTAAATGAGCTCTTCTCAACTCTGTTGTGTTAGTGCAGAAACACACAGGACAAAAATAAGAAGATACTCAACTAAAAAACAAACTGAGCCAGGTATGGAAATATAGCTGAATAGAAACAGGTGGAATCAGAAGTATTCCTTCTATTTTCAGTGTTTTTATTCCCTTGCTACCTTCCTTCACAGGTTCTTTTCCTTTTTAAAGGAAGCCTTTTCATTTTACTGTACATAATCCAGCACCAACTTTATAAAAAAAACAAAAAATTGTATTATTCCTAGGAAGACAAGAGATATTTTCTTTGCTTAGCACGTTTATTGATGTTTAATAGGCATATAACAAACTGAACATATTTGATTACACAATAATCTTCGTATGTGTGAACATGTTCCCTTGAAATCATTGCCACAATTAAGATAGTGAACATTTCCATCATCCCTCCTGCTTTTATCATCCCCTTCCCCAATGCCTTCTCCTCAGACAACCACCAGCTAGCTTTCAGATTATGTTTTGTAGCATTTTATATGAATGGAGTCAAACAGCATGCCTTTTTGTTTATTTTTGGTCTAGTTCCTTTCACTTAGCATAACCATTTTGGGATTCATTCATCTTGTTGCTTGCATCAATTTTTCATTCTTTTTAAATGTTGAGTATTACTCCCTTGTATGATTATACCCCAATCTGTTGATAAATGACCTGTTGATGTCCATTTGGGTTGTTTTCAGTATTTGTCTATTGCAAATAAAGGTGCTATAAACATTTGTGTACAAGTCTTCGTTTGTACATAGAATTTCTCTTCTCTTGGGTAAATGCTTAGGAGTTTAATGTCAGGATGTCTCAGTAGGTGTATGTTCAGCTGTTTGAGACATTGCCAAGCTATTTACCAAAGTTGTACCATTTGGTATTCATAACAGCAATGTATGAATGTTCCAATTCCATCTACCCTTGCTACCACTTGGTATGGTCAGTCTTGTAATTGGTGCTATATTACTGTGGTTTAAATTGCATTTCCTAAATGAAAAATCATCTTGAGGTCTTTTTATTTGCTAATATTGCTTATTTATTATCTACATATTTTCTTTGATAACGTTAATACAAATCTTCAGAGAAGTTTTAAGGGTTTTTTTTTTTTATTGTTACATTTTGAGAACCCTTTGTATATGCTAGGTAAAAGTCCTAAATTTATCAGATTTCGTTTTGATCGTTTTTGTTTGTTTTTCAGTTTATGGCTTGACTTTAATTCTCTGGAAAAGCAGTTTTAAATTTTGATGAAGTCCATCTTTGTGTTTTTACTGGTGTTTCTAAGAACTTGTTACCACACTCAAAGTGACAAAATTTTCTCCTGTTTCCTCCTAGACATTTTATAGTTTCAGGTTTTACATGGAAATCTATAGCTTATTTTGGGTTAGTTTGTGAGTCACGTATTAAAGTGCTCTCTCTCTCTCTTTCTATTATTATTATTTGCACATAAATACTCAACTGATTTAGCAACATTTGTTGAAAAGACTACGTTCACTACATTGCCTTTGCGCTTTTGTCAACAATTAGTTACCCATATATGGATGGGTCGACTTCTGTCTCTCTATTCTGTTCTGTTGACTTACTTAATAGATTTTTACAACACCACCATGAATATCAGTTTCTCGAAATCATGTAACCCTTCACGGTAACCCTTAAATGTTGTTCTTTTTCAAAGCTGTTTCAATTAATCTACATCTTTGTATTTTCATGTTAACTTTTGAATTGGCTTGTGAATTTCTTAAACTTAACAAACAAACAAATCCTGTTGAAATTTTGAATGTGATTGCATTGAACCTATTAGAAAAATGTGGGCAAAACTGAAATTTTAAAAATACTGATTTGTTCAACTCATAAACAAGGTATAGCTCTCCATTTACTTGTGTTCTTCTAATTTCTTTAAGCAAGGTTTTGCAATTTTTTCTGTATAGATGTTTTACATATTTTCTTAGATTATCAGCATATATTTCATATTTTTGATGCTACTAGAGACGGCATTGTCATCATTTGTAATTTTAATCTCCAAATGTCTCTTGATAGTATATAGAATTATAATAAAATTTTTTATACCAACCATAGATCTTGAAACACTTATTTTTTCTAATAATTTGTATGTGGTGTGTGTGTATGTGTATTCCACTGGATTTTTACATAGATAATCATGTCATCTATAAATAAAAGCATTTTTATTTCTTCCTTCCTGGATGATTTTTATTTCTTTTCCTTGCTAGATTTCATATACTAAATAGACACTCTAGTAAGCATTGAAAGAATGTGGTGAAAGTGTATGTCCTTATTTTGTTCTTGATCTTGGAAGAAATCCATGTTAATACCATTAAGTATGCTGTTAACTGTATATTTTTCATAGATACTCTTTATTCATTTGAAAAAGTTCCCTTTTATTCCTAGAATGCTGAGAGATTTTTATCAGGAATGGGTATTGATTTGTCTACGTCTGCTTTTTCTACATCTATTGAGATGATCGATATTTTAGTTTTTTTCTTTTTAATTTTTTAACATGATGAATTACATTGAATAATTATAAAAGGGTAAACCAACCTTGGGTTCTTGGAATTTATTATCATTTTAATATATTGGTGGATTAATTCTGCTAAACTTTGGTTTAGAATTTTTCCAAGTGTGTTAATGAAGAATATTGATCGTAATTTGCTTTTCGTGTAGTGGCTTTGTCTGGTTTATGTTTTAGAGCAGTACTCCTCAATGTCAATTTTCTGGAAGGTTTTTGTGGAACTGGTACTATTTGTTCTTTAAGTGTTTGATATAGTTTATCACTGAAGTCATCTGGACATAGGTTTTCTTTTTTTTTATAAGATTTTTAACAATAGATTCAGCTTCATGGATGTAATACCATTTAAAGAATTCTTTCTTGAGTGTCGTTTGTTGGGCATTAGTGTCTTTCAAAGAATTCGTCCACTTTATTAAATATTTAATTTCTTAACCTTACATTTTTCTTTGTATTTTCTTATTGTCATTTTAATATCTCTAGAATTTGTATTAATGCAACTTCTCTCATTCCTGATACTGTTCATTTTTGTCTTTTGTTTTTTAAATTAGTTTGGTTTAGAAGAAAAAGTTCATTTTTCTTCTTGATGAAACTCTTTTCTTCATTGAAATTACTTTTTTTGTAGAAAATAAAGTCTATTACTTTTGTTTTCTATTTTATTAACTTCAGCTTCAATGATTTTTTTCTTTCTTCTACTTAATTATGTTTTAGTTTGCTCTTCTAGTTATAATTTCTTAAGATGAAAGCTCAGTTCATTGATTTCAGATTTTTTCTTTTTTAAATATATCTGTGCTGTGCTTTATGTTTCCCCTTTAGCATTAACTGTAGTGGTATGCAACAAATTCTGTTTTTTTTTTTTTTTTCATATTTATTCAGTTCAAAATACTTACCAATTTCCCTTTAGTTTCTGTTGTCTCATAAAGCCCTTGGGAGCTTCCTGTTTTTGGTTGAAATCTGAAACAGCCTCATCTCCCTTACTGAGAGGGCAAGAGCGGGACCAAAGACAGGCAGGCTACTAGGTGGAAGGTTTAATAAGCAAAGGGAACTTACATACAAGGCCTGTCTCAGGTGGCAGCAAGACTAGTTAATCCCCTACCCACCCTCCAAATATTAAAAATTTATACAGAAGCCTTAACTAGGCTCAACCATGCACACTAGGTAGGTGTTCTCATCACATCACTGTCTCAAATCCTTGGAGCAGCTCCTGGGAGCAGGAAAGGCAAACAGAACCCACATTTGATTTGATTTTTTTTTTTTTTTTTTTTTTTTTTGATAGAGATCACAAGTAGGAAGAGAGACAGGCAGAGAGAGAGGGGGAAGCAGACTTTCTGCTGAACAGAGAGCCCAATGCTGGGCTCCATCCCAGGACCCTGAGATCATGACCTGAGCTGAAGGCAGAGGCTTAACCCACTGAGCCACCCAGGTGACCCAGAACGTACATTTGAAAGACAGGGAAGGGTATGAGGAACTGCACATTGCTGGTCCAGCTCACAGGTCAGTTGAAGGTCATGCCTTTTCCATGACCTTCCCAAAACTCCACCCTTTATGACTGTCTCTTATCTTATAATCTCACGTACTTCCATCTTCTACAGTGTGCCCTGAGCAGTCAGCAAGGGGTTTCACCAGCATGCAGGTGGCTCCTTTGGTGGCCCTCTGGCTGTCCTGGAGGCAGATGCCACAGCAATAACACAGG